GAGTTGCTTCCAGGAGCTTATGATGAAGGTCCGTGAGGAGGGCGGGGAAATCAAGTTCACCCTTTTCTGGATGATCTCATCACGGCGGCAGACGATTACCGAGAGCATCTACGACAAATCGAGGCGGTTTTGATGGCGTTGAAGGAAGCAGGACTGACGATGAGATTGAGTAAATGCAAATTTTCCATGGAGACGGTAGAATTTCTGGGATTCAAAGTGTCGGTGGAAGGGGTTCGACCAGGTACTAGGAAACTAGCGGCAGTCGAAGAATTTCCAAGACCAAAGAACGTACACGAGGTGAGGAGGTGGTTGGGATTAACAAGTTTCTTCAGGCGGTTCGTTAAGGATTATGCGTCCATAGCGGGTCCGTTGACAGCGTTACTTAGAAAGGAAGCTAAATTCCAATGGAATTCGAGGGCAGAAGAGGCGTTCACGAAATCAAAGGAGGCATTACTGAAGGATCCAGTGCTAGTGAGGTTCGATCCAGAAAGAGAGACCGAGCTACACACCGATGCTAGCTGCGTCGGTTTAGGCGCGATTTTGCTCCAGAAGGTAGGCGGTAAACTTCGGATGGTTTACGCGATAAGTCGGATATTGTCGGAATCGGAGCGAAGTTATCATTCCACGAAGTTAGAGCAACTGGCGGTTGTATGGGGCTTGGAGAGGCTACGGCATTATCTTCATGGAAGAAAATTCACGGTGGTTTCGGATTGCAGCGCGGTGGCGGCTTTGAAAACAAAGAACGGATCATCACAACTTTGTCGGTGGTGGGACAGGATAGCGGAATTCGATTCCGAAGTCAAACACCGGGCGGGCGTGAAAATGGTACATGCGGATGCACTGAGTCGGGAGCCGTTCGAAGAAGCGGAAGAAGCTTCAATAGAGGAGGGGTTGCCTACGGATACCACCGCGACACTAGTGTGTACGGCGTTACGAACCTATGATGAAATGATGATGATACAGGCGCAGTGGCGTAGCGAGCCGGAGTGCCGCTCGGGGCGGTGATTCGAAATTTCCCGTTCTTTCACCGTGCTCGACGAAAATGCCGCCCCCCGCCAGATATTTTTCCTCGAAAACACTCCGTTTTTTGGATGCAAAACCCCGAAATGCCGCCCCTAAATGCTCCGTAGGAAGTGCCGCCCGGGGCGGTCCGCCCTTTCAAACCAAAGTTCACCCCTTCCGCGTTCCCCCCAGGAACATGGTACCAGAATTTCTTCCACGGCATACCTCCGCCAGGTTGTCCCGCGTCGAATGCAACCAGGTTGAGCCCGATTGACCCAGCGGTCGCTGAGAAAGAGGCGATTTCGTGGAGCAACGAGAAAAAAGTGACCGATCATTTCCAAAACGCCCGCAACAGGTGGAGTTGGCCGAAATCGTCCCCGCTAGGGACGGAATTGTGTCAGTCAGGGCGAGAGCTGTTGATTGGTGGGTTATTTCATAGAGTTTCATTGAGCCGTTCAAAAGTTGGAGCCGGGACGAGTGGAGGGGAAAAAAGTCCCGACTAAAGATGACCACCCTGTACATAGGATAAGGCTACCTTGGTCTATCACATGTAGCGTCCTAGAATGCTATTGGGTGTACCCAGCATGTGGGGTGCTAGCCCAATTTCGTACTACCTTGAGGGTATCATGCTAGAGTCGCAACCTCGGGGTATAACCCCGGTGACTCACGTATTTTACCACTGTCACGGGTATATGGCCCCGTGGAGTTGGTATGAGTCATATTCCTAGTACGGATCGAGGACTAGTAGTCTTCAGTTTCTACATAAAGCTCAACATTTACGAAGTTCAAGAACGAAGAGGACATCCGGAACCTTAGGCTCGGCGGTGCTAGGACCCTTCAGGTCGAAGGCACTGGCACTGTCAGCCTTACGGTCCTCGACGGGGAGGCAAGTTCCACCATTTCTCTCGACAACGTACTCTGCTTCCCGAGCATGGGGAGGCGACTAGTATTGCTCAGTAAACTGGCCAGCAGTCATTTCGACATCAAGATCATGCAATCGAATTGGAAAAGGATGACATGTCTGTGAGAGCGGAACTCACGAATGGACGTTAGGTCATCGACGCTCATCCGGGAGTTCCAGCGGAAAGCTTACAAACTGAATCGAGCGACTACTCAGTTCCAATTCGGTCAGCGTACGGAAGCTTGGCCCATGTTCGGATTGAAGTAAGAAGGATCCTGGAACAATTGAACATTGAACACGTCGATGATTCCACATCGTGCGAGGGTTGCATCCGCAAACCTGATCTCTGTGAAATGCCAGATACCAGTGTATGCTAAATGAAATGAGACAGATTTTGCTGAAAATTCGAGTTTCTATCAGAAGAATTGATCTCATTTAAAGCCGTTCCTCATACATAGCACCAATCTTACCGGAAATCATTGAGTTCCGCGCGAAAGAAAATTTTAAGCTTTCGAGGCGAAAAAATTGGTAACTCATCTTTGAACATTTTCGTAAGTCTCGAGCCTCTGTTATGAAAGCGCAAAACCCATTGCTACGAACAAGTGTTATTCGGACGGGCATTTCATGAGCCTGCGTCGCAGTTTCCCCCAAATGGGAACAAAAAATCAGCGGTTCCCGCTGATGAGCATTTTTCGGGTCAAAATCGGACATTATCATGGGACGGAAATTTTTCAGACAACGATGCGCGAATCATCAACCACCTATCAGATATTATGGCCCGAAGCTTGATTCGAGATATATATATATATATCTGTATATCTATATATGGAGGTATATGGAGTTTCTCCGCGTTCCCCGCAGCGGCCGGAGCGGGCTTTTCAAATTGTCTCATTCCAAATACACCTTATACATATCACCTCTGCCTGACAGAATAATTCTCTAACATAAGTATCGCGGAGTGTATCTACTCTACAATAAGGACCAGACAGCTGGGTGCATCAAATTTTATGCGAAGTGGTACCACAATATAACCGGAGCACACGGACAGAGGTTCGGAATTCGACAACCCAGGAGTCCATGAATTCCCGATAAGCATTGGCGCCGGATTCACCAAGAGTTGCGCCTATCGACCTCAAATGAACGGCATCTCCGAATCGCACGCTGAATAACCTCATCCGAACCATCCTGAATTCGACAGGAAGTCGCATGACTCAGTGGGGTGAGTGCTTGAAGTACTGTGTTTATGTTTTGAATGCTGCCACCTCCTTCAGAGCGAGGAGAGCTCCCGGGATTGCGTCGGAGAATAAGTCTTTCCCCGGCTGTGTTTGGATTCGTAGTGCGGTGTGTGGGAGGAGGTTGCTTCTTAGGAGGCGGTTCCGGTCTGCAGACGGGTGAAGCTAACACCTGACCCAAGAGGTCCTCAACGTAGAAAATGAAATTACATCAGGCCCGAAAAGCTACAAGCAGTCGAGGAGTCCAAAGACAAGGACTCATGGCTCGGAGCAATGAATGGAGAAATGGCATCACTCCAATCAACGGATGTGTGGAGACCTGAGGATCCACCGGCAGGACACAAAGTGATCGGGAACAAATGGGTCTCCAAGCGTAAAAGGGACGCGTCAGGTCAGACCATTAAGTTTAAGGCAAGTTTGGTAATCTTAGGATGCGCGCAGCGTGAGAACCAAGATTTCTTCGAGATATTTGCCCCAGTAACTCGTTTCGATCCATGTCGGCTATTGCTGGACATAGCGGCCGAAGAAGGCCTGAAAGTACATCAGTTGGATGAGAAGACGCCATTTCTCTACGGCAAATTAAAGGAAGTTATCTATTCTCATCCACCACAAGGGTTTGCCGATGAAACAGGGAGATGTCTCCGACTATTGAGATCGGTGTACGGATTGCGACAAGCCCCCCGTGGTTTCTTCGGTACATGATGATTCGGCGCCGGACGATTCGGCGCTGGACAATTCGGCGTCGGACAATTCGGCGCCAGGGATGATTCGGCGCCGGATAATTCGGCGCGAGGGATGATTCGGCGCCGGACGATTTGGCGCTATAGGTTCTGAAGCTGGGGAACAATTAAGGCTGAGAAAGTCCCCTTGATCCCAAGCTCAGGGGGAGTTTAAACTCATAGACTCCGATATACCTATGTATAACTACGCCGCCCCTCGTTCAGCGGCGGTGGATGCACTCGCACGTGCGACGTCGCCGTCGCGTCGTCGAGAGACGCGCGATACACGATATCGTGAATCGTGCGCTTCTACGCAAGTTGACGGCGAGCGCGATCGGATCGCAAGAATTCCCGCAGGACTCAAGGAATCGATTGGGCGTATAGTCAGGGGGATTGGGTCATCGGCTGTTCTGGAATATTGCTCAGGATTCCAGTCCATTCATTCCCGACGATACAGCCGGAACCGCGTATGTGCCTATTCCAGGCGGCTTCAACTTCAGATGCGTGTCGAAGCCTCGGTTCCCTTGCTTCTCACTTCAGATAACAAAAAATAAACACTGAGGGTTTCCAGAGACGAAAACAAACACTCGCTTCCAGAGAGCAAACTCACTCGACCGCTTTCTTCGCCTTTGTGAAATTTCCCTTAATCCTCAAGCTCTACTCGTAGACTCCTTGCGATGGAAGCTCCTTCCGAATTCGAAGCATCTCAGATCATGCAAACAGAGCGTGGAACGCTGAAGTTGGCCTTCCGTGGACACATGTACACTCAGGACAAGAAGAACTCCATCGGCACCTTACAGTTCTGGCGATGTGACTTCAAAGACAAATGCAGGGCCCGATGCACACGGCTGTGGGGACTGACGAGGTTGTTGAAGTCGTCGGGGAACACAGCGATCCAGCCGATGCTGCATGTGTTGAGGTCGCTGCTCGCAACTCCGAGCTCAAGCGTCGAGCACTCTCGACTCAAGAAGCTCCTTCCCAGCTGCTGAATAATCTTGCGGCGTGCTTAACCGTCGCTGGCCAGGGATGTCTTCCGAAGCACGATTCTATCAAACGGAGAATTATAATAGAATACGCGGCGAGAACTCTCAAGCGCCCGCTTGTCCGACTGACCGAGCTTCTATAATTGTACCAGAGGCCTACACCATGTATCAGTGCGAGCCAGGAGCTTCAGAACGCTTCCTCCTGGGCGACTCTGGCGTCGGGGATGAGAAGCGAATTCTGATCTTCGGTCGAGAGTCGGCTGCTGAGTGGGTGGGTTACGTACAGCGAATTTACGTCGATGGGACTTTCAGTCTAGCTCCGGGACAATTCGAGCAATTATTCGTGATCCTCGCCGATGGTGGAGGGTACGCGATTCCCTTGTGCTACGGGCTGCTTCCAGACAAGTCGGAAGAGTCCTATCGTCGAATGCTCGACCTCATCATGGAAGCCTTCCCGGCTCTCAATCCCTCGTCAATCGCCATGGACTTCGAAATGGGTCTCATAAACGCTTTCAGCGCGGTTTTCCCGACCGCTGAAGTCCATGGTTGTCTCTTTCACTTGGTGAAGAATATGAAGAAAAAAGTTGCATCGTTCAATCTCCTCAGACATTACAATACGGATTCGAACTTTTCTCTCTGGGCCCGGATGATCCCGGCGATGGCTTTCGTGAGAAGAGATATGTTGGACAGAACGATGATGGCGCTCTTGGAGATCTTGCCAGAGGAACTGAGACCCATATTCACCTACTTCGAAGTGACGTATGTCGGTCGAATACTGGGCGTTCGTCTGGATGGGACGCTCATCAGGGGTACTCCGCTGTTCCCGCAGGAAATGTGGTCCAATTCCGAAAGGACTCTCAGAGGTGAGAGTCGAATGAACAACTTCGCGGAAGCAGCGCATCGAAAACTTCAGGGCGCATTCGGCGTCTGTCATCCGTCGATTCAGAAGTTCATCGATGGCCTCCGCCAAGTGCAGCACAAGGCAGACGCTGAGCTCGAGCAGTACAATGCCGGTACTCTGCCGAAACCCAAAAGGCGCAGATACCTAGACACGGATGCCAGGTTGCTCGAGCTGGTTCGAACCATTGAGGCTCGTGAGCCAGTAGCTTTCTTGCGAGGGGTGGCGCACAATTTTCTCACGGAAAACTAGAAACCTGTTGTCTTTCTCAATATCATGGCGACCATAATTGAATCGTTTATTTTCGAAACATCGTAACTCCACTCTGGAAAAACACCCAAAAACAATCTTCCCCCTGTAGTTTATCCCACAGGATACCGATCCTGGCTTGTGGGGCCATTTTCGAAAGCTCTTGGTGAGAGCTTTCAGAAAAAAAATATAACACCGCCCTACCTCCCATTCTGTGGCTACACGCGGAGAAATGAGTCTTTGGAGTTACGATGTTTTGAAAATAAACTTTTTTTCAAAACTCAGGAATCTTTATCTCGCCGTAAAAACGTCCAGGATCATCGTAGGAGGCTGTTTTTTTCTTCAAAATGTAGCCCAGGTCCTCAGCTTTCCAACAAGGCGCCGCACGACCCTATAGCTCCATTTAATCAAAAGTTACGGGCGTTTTAAGAATGGACCACTCCCCATAGACTTAACATTGACACGGAATTTTCCAAAACGGGTTTTTCCCTTCCCTCAAA